TTTTGTTTTTTTTTTGTGGGGGGGGGGGGGGGGGGGGGAGGACAAGCGAGGTACTGGAGAAGACGAGCCATCGAGTTCCAACGATATTCCGAGTCCTTGACCACCACTCTATCGCAAAGTGCTCAAGTCGGCTCCGCCGGTACTTTACCCCAAATTCCATTACTTGTCACTCGGTAGTGTACGATCGTCTGTGCTCGGCGGCACGGCCAGACGCAAGGGAGAGGGAGAATTCGGGGCCAGGCTAGTTTGTCCGGCAGGCCAGGGTGCAAAGACCAGTAGCATTGACCATACACATGGCCTGGTTGCACTCCAAACACATGTTGGCATGGTTCGGTTTTGCAGCTTTTGATTTGTGCAACACCACACCATTTGTGATGGATGGGCGGGTGCGGTCTGCTGTGCATGTTGAGGTGCGGTGGTGGTGTGTGGTTGAGTCTGGTAACTTATTTGGAGGCACAGGTGGGTAACCCGTCGCTGTGTAAGGCTAGGGCGCATGCATCAAATTAGCCTTGTTCGGGCATCGTAGCAGATGTCGAGACTACTACCAGACGGCATTGCATGTCCACTGGTACGTAATATGCCACCGAGGAGTTGTTGCAGTGTCTGTGCTGGACATGCATGTATGGGGCAGCCCGTATTGTAGATGCTCCGTAGATGCTCCGTGGATGCATGCAATGTCCACTTGAGCACCTTATCACTGGAGCGTGGACGGACGGACGATGCGGGCGCGGCGGTTCCCTGCTGCATCTGCTGCGCCTGGGTCTCCGCGTGAGCCGTGCCTTGCCTGTAGGCGACAGTCGAGATCTCTGGGAACTAATCAACGGCCCCGATTTCAGGGACCCTTGACGTGAACTTGCCGCCAGTCAGCGGCCGTGTAGCGGGTAGTCGGTGGTGAGCTTCCATGTGCCTTTTGATGCCATCGAACAACGCGCTGGCTCGATTCGGAGGGCGGGGCGCCGTGAGTGCCGCTAAGCAAGCCACACCACCACAGACCACATGCATTGCGACGTCTGAACTGGCTAGGGTCTGTGTCTGTTCGGATCATTGATCTGGAAGACCGTTGGCATATTAAACAGCAGACATTGGGAAGGTAGACGCGGGCCTAGCTGCCCGTTGCTTCTGGGGAAGGGTCTCGCGGAGCCGTTGAGGCGACTGAGCTAGTCCGATCCTGCTTACGGAGTAAATACTTAAGAACTATACCTGGTAGCTAATTGATATGCTTGGTACTTACAACGGGCGGCTGCAAGTAAGTGCCTTATTATTTGAACTCAGTACTCAAGTAGGCAGATGCTCCGTCCAGACTCCTTTTCCTGAACATCTGCCAAGGGGCATGTTTTTGGGCCTCGGGCCTTGGTGCGAGAACTCCAGGGTTTGGCTGGAAATGGCATGCCATCTTGGCACTTGCACCAAGCCGCCGAGTTCTTTGCCAGCCGCATGTCTTGATACTTATACATAGTTACATATATGTATACACTCTTAATATGGAGCCATCGAGTCAAGAGTCAGTCAACTAAGGCATGCATGCATGCATGCATCTGCACATGCGTGGACATGGCAACGCTCGGTAACTGTGCAATGGCGCCAAGGGCGACGAGCTCCAGTGGATGACAGGCGCACCGGTGTCGGTACATGCGCCCGCAAGGCCAGCTGCAAATGCTCAGATGTCCAGATGCCAACTTTAGAAGCCCGATCTCAAGCCCCTGGACGGCTTCAGTTGACCACCAGACCATTTGATTGATGTGCACCCTTGAATTGCTGGCGCTTGCTCAACTAGGCATTGGCTGGCGCCGGGGGGCCGTGGGCTTGGGGGTGGACTTCTAAAGCCTGGTTGGTCAACTGGCTACATTGAACCGTGCGGCCACGCCCAGGTGCCCGTCAACTAACACTAACTGACACGGGTTCTCGTCGAGTTTGCGTCGATTGATCCCGGCATCCAGTGCAGTGCTCCGTACCAAGTACCAGACATCTGGACATCTGGACCCCAGTTCTTCCTTCCCGTCTTCTAAAGTTGCCCTCAAAATCTCTCCATTTGCCCACCAGACATGCCTTGCTTGTGGCCAATTTCTCGTCAACATCTTGCTGCTCCGTCTGCTCTTCCTTCTCTCCAAAATCCCGGGCGCGGGACTCGACGGCCCAACATCTAGTTTCTTTTCTTGGCTGCCCTTGGCATTTGGAATCGGCCTCACTTGTCTACAACACTGACAAGGATACGGCCCCGTCGAAAGGTCCCGGCGACTTCGCCTTTGTCCTGCATCCGCCTGCACGACGCGTGTGTTGCCGCAAGACCTCACCATGCCATTGGAAGTATCGGCTTCCTCATAGTAAAATTGTATCGACAACCCAAGGTGGAAATTTGATCTGCCACCCCATTGTCAGAATCTACAGCTGCCTGCTACCTTCCCGCCCAGAACTGGTCCAAAGATCGTGGGGGAAGAAAGAGGGGCGACGAGTGCCTCGGCTGACCTTGCTGAACTCTTCAACCTTTTAAGCGTCAAGTTGTCTTTGTTTCTTGGACGTCAGTCTCTATATCTCGGATATCATTGACTTGTTACCGGTCCCGCCTCGCCATCTTTGTCCTGTCCTAAATCCAGACAACCCCAGGCTCTGAGGTTTTCCCTCGGATCTACCGCCTTTCTGTCCGCCTGTGCTCGTGTTACACCGGAGACGTTTCACGCTCTTCAGCAGTTCTCTTCCTCGAATTTCTTTTCCTATTACTTTAGAGCTTGGCCGAATATCCTACTCCTTCATCCTAGCTTCGGAATTGCATCTTCTTTATTGCCTTTATGACAATTAGGTGTTTGCCACATCTTCATGACTTGCTGTGCAGCACCACAGTAGAACCATCCTCGCCGTCTTCAACCAACACTGCATTCCTGGCTCTGCGCTGCAGCTCCAGAGGCAACTTGAAAACAACTTTCACTGGTCTACTTTTCTGCAAAGAATACGCAATGTAAGTGCATGTGCACTAGTTATCTCCGAAGTCAGATCGACCTCCTGCCGACTTGCATTCTTTGAACTTGCCGACTGTCCATGATGGCAGATGGTGGCAGTATGCAGCCCGACAGCAAACAATCTCAGCCCAGTTCAGCTCTAGCTCCAGCTCAACAGCAGAATTCCAATACAGAAGACGAGGCGAAGGGAAAGAAGCCAGCAGTTAAAAAGAGGACCAAGACAGGATGTCTGAGTGCGTCCCCTCCTTTTTGTCTATAACATGTAGCTCTTTGCCTAACTCTCCAACTTCACCCAATAGCTTGCCGGAAGAGGCGAATCAAGTGCGACGAAACTAAGCCAAGATGCAAGAACTGCATCAAGTCTAAACGACCATGTGAAGGATATACGCAACGTGTTGTCTTTAAGGACCCTGCAAATTTAGGAACAACTCATGGCCATTTTGGACCAGCCATATATCCACCTGGTACTCGACAACAAAGCGCGTCCATCGGACTTCACCCACATCAGGCCAACCCTCAAGCTTCTCTGCAACCGATTGCACCCAGACCGGCAACTTTCAATGGCAGTCACAGGCAACCTATGTCGTTTGCACAAGCCCACTCGAGCCACAGTTCGCTACCAAACTATCCTCCAATCCCGAACCCTCTTCTAGGACCGGACACTGCTCACCTCACCCAGAATTATTATATGGGATCTAGCTATGGCGAAGTTCCACCTGATGCCCTTGGCCAGGAGCAAATCTCCCGAGAAGAACAACTTGGACCCTCCTTTGAATATGATATGCCCTCCAACCGGGGTTACGGATGGCCAGACCGCACCCAGTACGGACATGGAGTCATAGAAGACGAGGTTGCCATGGACGACTCTGACGATGAATCCCCCGATCCACAGTCGCTTATTGTGCGAGATTATAGAGATGTTTTAAAACCGTACACAAGAGGAGGCACCGAAGTTAGAACCTTTTCGGCATTTGCACAGAACTATGCCCTTTCAGAATACATGGACTATGTTCATTCCTCCGAGCTACGGCGGCATGATATGCAAACCATCTTCCGGCATTTTGTTAGTGTCACTGGTCCTACCATGTCACTATATGAGAGAGACCCAACCTCGCTCGCTTCAGGAGCACGATTCGACGGTGACGCTACTCTAGATAACAACTTGTGGAGCCGTAAGTGCCTCCCCCCCTTTTCTTTCAAACCATTGGTGTAAAAGCAGAAGATGCCGTCGTCACAGAGCGCCTCTGATACTTCATCAGATACGTTTCCTTTGCTGTCCTTCCATCATCCTGGTCTCTTCCACGCCATTATGGCAATTGCAAGTTTACAGATTGCAAATCTCCAAAATACTCCGGCCACAGCCGCGTTAAGGCATTACCATATTTCTCTTCGTCGAAATGCGAGGAACGTAAGCAGCCTGCAGAGAAATACGAAGCCGACTACCGTGGCAACCACATTGCTGTTGGCTTACTTTGAGGTCTGGTCATCCGATCACACCAAGTGGTGTAACCATCTTCTTGGCGGAAGGCTTTTATTTCGACAAATACCCCTTAGACAAATGTCCCGCATTTGTCTTCCAGTCAAGCGGATGAGGCACTTTCCAAGCCCACTCTCAGCGCCGCCTTCCATCGGGCCGCGAAGAGATCCCGCCGATCTTGATTACGGGCTTCTAAGCACAATTACGGGCCATCGTGTCACAGCTGAGGATTATGGGCTCCAAGAAGGTCAGCTCCTGGACGAGGAATGTCTATGGACCACCGATAAAGACATAGAGACTTACGACATGCTTCGAGACCTCTTCTGGTGGTATGCGAAAATGGATGTTTATCAGAGCATGCTTGGTGGGACTAAACTATTGTAAGATTGAATCCCCGATATTGAGACGGGAGGCTCGTACGCTGACTTGATACGCAGTATGGAGTATGAACATTGGACGCAATGCCCCCCACGGGCTCCCTTGTCCAGCATTAACTCCATGTAAGACGGTCCCCTCCCTCCTTTGCCCTCATGTTGTCTTGTCTCTCTAACGAACTTCAAATATAGTTTTGGGACTTACGATCATCTCATTCTACTCCTTGGTCGTCTAGCGAGCTTTACATCAAAAGACTTGTCGAGAAAAAGAAAGGCGTTCCGAGCAAAAGGTGGTGGATCCTTTAGGGGAGGATCATCTCCATCCCAATTTCCCGGAATTGTGCCTACTCTAGGAAAATTCCATGCCCCAATAGGCTTTTCTGCACAGTCATCTTATTCGGACGAGTCGGATTCTCCAGGTGACACGGCAACACCTGAAAGCAACGAGCTAGCCGAGCAGGAATGGGAAAGTATTCGCCAAGCGTTCGAGACCTTTGAGAATCGTCTTGACGCTCGTTTTAAGCCTTTAAATAGCGAATATGCCGATCACAAAGACACACCATTTGGTACAGCACTCCAGTACCGCACATATTCCGTTGCTGGCATTTGGATGAATTACTATATGGGTCTTATTCACTTATACCGGAGTCGGCCCAACATGCCACCAGCGGCAATGCAGGCTGCAGGAATGGCGGCGCCCTCTACTGCCGGTTATGCAATACAAATTGGACGTATCGCAGCCGGGCTCACAGACAACTGTTCTACAAAGAAAGATATTAGTACTACGCTTGCAGCTGCTCTCATTGAAAGCAGCTTCTGCCTATTTGTGGCAGCGGTACAGGTAGGCGAAGGCCAGGCAAGGTTTGCACTTCCACACTTTCTAACATTGTTCACAGCTCCAAGATAACAATCAACGCTGTTGGGTTATTCAGCGTGTATTTGATATTACTCGACTGACTGGATGGCAAACTGCCAGAAAAATTGCCATTGGATGTGAGTCGGCCTGGATTAAGGTTGCACAGCTGGGCCATGGACCGGAGTATAAAAGGCCGCAGCATCTGGAAGAGGTTCCCACGTCTGTATGGATGAACCCTCGAAAACTAGACCAGAGGATTCAGGATCTGCAGAACACCACGGAGACAAGACTAGTCCTCCACCGGTCTGAACAGACCAATCTAGCTTTAGGCTTGCTCGGGGTAGAAACAGACTTAGAGGTGCTAGATCTTAGGGAGGACCGCTAATTTTTTTTTCGAAAGAACCAAATTTCTGTATCATGTTTGAGCCTTTGGCGGTGTTGTGGACCACTATCGGGACTTAGACCGTGAACTGTACAGGTATGAGGCATGGACTGGCGTTTCGTCCGGGGATACTCAGTATTTATAATCTGGGGTGATGGCTCTAGATCACTGGCGAATGGACAAAGAATGGGCAAAAGAGTGCGTTAAAGGATGTAATTGTATCTGGCGCCATCACTAGGCAATACCTTACATTAATGATACATAACGTGAACTAGAGCGTTCCCTGCTTAATTCCCTCAGATTTTATAAACAAAGCCGTTGTGTAAGCCCAATGCTTTATCTCTATTTATCAAGGTTCAATTGCAATTACAGTGGCCCGATGAACCTGTTTAGTTGGCAGGGAGCCTCTCTACAACGGCCGCCATCTCCTCATCGGTATATATTCTAAAGCCCTTTTCCTTCGTAACACTGGCCAACTGAACGTTCTTGGCATCTAGTTTTTCCTCCATAACTTGTTTCAATGTCTTTAGGACCAAAGTTTCGGCATCTGTAATTGTGAGGGACTGTTTTTCTTGATTAGTACGTGTCGAATGTGCTCCCATGCAAAGGAGCAGGAGGCAGTGATTTGGGCATCCTCACCTTGTGGTATTCATTCTGTAGTTCTGCTTGAGCGCCCTCTGAGCCCGAGCCAATGGCTTTGGCGTCATAGCGATAGAACGTTCCACTTGGCTCGGCATGGAACAACTGAGGTCCTTGCTCATCAAACCCAGCAATCAGCAGAGCTACACCAAAGGGCCTGCTCATGATGGTTTCCTCTCCATCAGCACCCTCACCGAATCGCAGGGCAAGATCGCAAATGGCCTGCGTGCAGCTCTCAACACCCAGGGGCTCGTTGTAGTTAAAGGCGTGGCTCTGGCATTCGACTCGGGCGTGCTCGACCATGGAGCGAGCATCGGCCTGCAGTCCGGACATGGCGCAGCCGATGTGGCGATCAATTTCGACAATCTTCTCGACGGATGAGGTTTCGAGGAGCGTCGAAGTTACTCTCTTCTCGACACCGAGGATGACACCTTCTGAGGTGGCTACACCGATGGCGGTGGAGCCTAGCTTGATGGCTTCGAGAGAGTATTCGACTTGGAAGAGGCGGCCTTCTGGGGAGAAGGTGTTGATGCCCCGATCTGGAACGAGGGAGTTTTTCCTTCTTTTTAGCAAGGTGATGGCATTGAAGGGGAAGAGACATGATGTTGGCAGGGGAGCTTACCGTATTCTGATCTTGCCATGAACATCTCGGCGGTTTGTGGTTGGAAATTGGGCTATGAAGCCTGGTGTTTGGTCGGGGTATTGAGGACTGAGGCGAGAAGGATACGGAGGCAGACGCAGGCGCAGATGTAGGCGCAGACTAAGACCCGGCGCACAAATTTGTCGTCAGGGATGTGGATGGTTACGGCGCAATCGAATGGTTGCCGTGGAGTGAGGTTGGTGATGGCTGGGAAGCTGCACTGAGCTCAGGTGTCGGACGGCGGTTGGTCTGCACAGCACTAGGCAAGCACTGGGCCTACGCAGCTCTACCAGACAGCTTGCCGGTCCGTCCACACAGGCATCAGTTGGCGTCACACCTTGTCGTTGGTCGGTCGCCGGAGCTGGAGTTAATCCGAGCAGCCCGCACGACGCGTGCCTCGTCGCGGTTGAACCCCACGCTGTAGCAAGTGGACTGTAGTTTAGTGGCTTGTATCAGAACAGGCAGGTGAAAGTAGGGACTTGGAAATCTCCCTTCGTGATCAATTAGTCGCCAAGGTATTACGCAACCTCACTTCCACACATACCAGGCTATTGACTCACTCATCTTCCAATTCAATTGCGAAGGCACAAGTCATACTGCCAAGTATTACGGGCCATAAAAAAAGTACAGAGAGAAAGACAAAAAAATACGACTAGAAAGCACCAAACCGAACTGTATGATATCAGTGACCCGTTCACCGCGTGGCCTCAGATGTAGCCCGCCAACATGGCATCCGGGACAGCAAGAGCCGCTAGCCGCGCCAACAGCTATGCAGACGATCGCATGCGCACTTCCATACCCAACGGAAGCTTCAAGAGCGAACGACCAGATCTGAGGGCACCCGAGGCTTCTCACGCTGAGGCACAGTGTCCTGGCATGGCTCATAAGAGGACCGCGTCGGGGAATCCAAGGCCGGTCAACAGATCAATATCTACAGAGGAGCGAAGATACGAAGAGCGACGGGTTACGGAACGGACTTTTGAGGCGCATGTGGATAGGATTTTGAAACGAAATCCCAGTCCAGAGAAGCAGCATAGACGAAGTGCGACTGGCGAGAGAAGGGAAGGGGAAGTGAGGAGGCAGAAGTCTACTGAGTTTCGGCCCAGGGATTCTCTGTCAGATGCTTCACAGGGTATTATTCTTGCCGTCTACAGTACCTGCATGTGTGGAAAGGAGGAAATGCTAACGTGGCGAACAGCTCCTTGGAACCCGGAAGCGACTTTGTTACCGCATACTTCGGCCCCGTTGGCTTCGCGGATATCGATCCCCCCCGTTGCCTCGACAGTTCCACAGGCACCACAGCCCAAATCTTTGAATGAGCTGACGCTAGAGATACAAGAGGCAGCTATCGTGGAAGACTTGCTGTTCGTGTTCATGGGCTATGAGGGGCAATACATTCGCTTTGCTAAGGGATACGATCCGACCGAGGAGCGAGATCGTCTCACTGGACCAAGCTTCAGGATATCACCCGGACTGGATCCAAGTCTGGCTGACCTAACTCGCACTATGCTCAAAATGGCGACTTATTACTCGGCTCTGGAGGCATTCGTTGATGTTCAGAGTCGAGTTGAGTTCGGCGCCGTGAACCATGCGCTATGCGCATCGATACGAAAGTTCTTGCAGGACTATCTTATTATGATTGCACAACTAGAGACACAATTCCTCACAAGCGAATCGTTTACGGTTCATGTGCTGAATATTCATACTATGCCAACGTGTCAGATGATGCATCAGCTGTATTTACTGGCTCATGAATTGTTAAAGAAGAATGGTATAGTGGATGACGAGACTGAAGATGAAGATGACGAGATGGAAAATGACGATGCAATGATTGAGCGCTTGAGAGAAGGAGGCGAGCTCATACCAGGAAACATGACCAGCAAGAAGATTTGTAAAGGCGGTGTCGTTCTGGGTTTGATAACAAAGCGACTAGAAAGGATGTCTGGGGACCCGGCAGCCAGAGCTCTGCTCACATCGCTGCTACGAGATGCCAGTCGTCCATATATGGTCATGCTCAACGAGTGGCTACATCATGGAAGCATCTATGATCCGCACTCTGAGTTCGTCATCGAGGAACGAAAGAGCATTAACCGAGAGAGGTTGTATGAAGATTACACGGATGAATACTGGGACAGGAGATACACCATCCGCGAAAAGGACATCCCACCGCAACTCGAAGGCGTCAAAGACAAGGTTCTCCTGGCAGGAAAATATCTGAATGTCGTGCGTGAGTGCGGAGGCGCCGCCGCGAGCAAGGTTGTCACCGATGTGCCAACGACATTTGACGACCCTCGTTTCCTGGAAAATGTCAATGACGCATACGCCCACGCCAACAAGTCGCTGATGCAGCTCCTGCTTACCACACACGCTCTACCTGCCCGGCTACAATCATTAAAGCACTACTTCTTCCTCGATCCATCCGACTACTTCTCCTACTTTCTCGAACTCGGCTCATCCGAACTGCGTAAACCAGTCAAAAGTGTCAACACGAGTAAATTACAGTCCCTTCTGGATCTGGTGCTCCGTCAACCGGGCAGCATCGTGTCCTTGGATCCGTTCAAGGAAGACGTCAAGGTCGAAATGAACGACGTTACGCTCATCAAATCACTACAACGCGTCGTCAATATCAGGGGCATTGAGCAAGGTGAGCCGCTCCAACCCGTTGCCAACCAACACATTGAAAAAGACAAAAATGCCACTGGATTTACATCTCTCCAAATCGACTACTCTGTCCCGTTCCCCGTGTCCCTCGTCATTAGCAGAAGGACAATTTGGCGATATCAATCGCTATTTCGATATCTCCTCTCCCTTCGATACCTAGAAGCACAACTCTCCACAACGTGGCAGACGCAAACACGCGGCGTAAGCTGGGCTCACAAGGGTCAGAACCGCGCCCTTGAAATATGGAAGCGTCGCGCATGGACCCTCAGGGCTAGAATGCTCGTCTTTGTTCAGCAACTGTTGTATTTTTGCACCGCCGAAGTCATTGAACCCAACTGGACAAAGTTCATGTCTCGACTGAGCGCCAACGACGGTGACCCGACGAAACCGTCTGCACCGACTCGCACCGTCGACGAGTTGATGCAGGACCATGTCGACTTTCTGGATACATGTCTAAAGGAGTGCATGCTCACCAACAGCAAACTCCTGAGGGTAACTCAGCCCCTTTTCTCCTTGGGCCCCTGCCCCTCCTTTCTTCCCATTACTTCTCTCTAACCAGTATTCAGATCCATTCCAAACTCATGCAAACATGCACCATCTTCGCCGCCTACACAAAGTGGCTCACGCAGGAGCTAGAAAAATCTGACCCCGATCTGTCCTGCACCACGAAGCCCAAGACTATGACTGTTGACCAGTGGAACCGCTTCCAGGCTGCAAAGGCTGCTTCCCGGCCGCAGCCGGATTCTTCATCCGCGCCGACTGATGCCGAGTCACGCGTGAATAATTTATCCGAAATCATAAAGAAGTGGGAGAATAATTTCAGTAGACATTTGCAGATATTACTCGATGCGTTGAATTTCTACGCCGCCACGGAGACGGTGGTTCTGCTGAGTCTCTGTGCGAGATTGAGTACGGCGAATCAGGGGACGGAGTTTGCGGGACGGGGACAGGACGAAGACATTGGATGATGTGGAAACTTTGCTGGTTAACGTGTAATGATTGCCATGGCGATTGTAGGCAAATGAAGTTTATGAACATGAGACGAATGGTGTTATTCATTTTACGTATAGGAGATGATTCATATCCGTTTATCGTCGAATCCCAACCCCCCCAATCCGCAATTCGATGACTGTTGACCAGTGGAACCGCTTCCAGGCTGCAAAGGCTGCTTCCCGGCCGCAGCCGGATTCTTCATCCGCGCCGACTGATGCCGAGTCACGCGTGAATAATTTATCCGAAATCATAAAGAAGTGGGAGAATAATTTCAGTAGACATTTGCAGATATTACTCGATGCGTTGAATTTCTACGCCGCCACGGAGACGGTGGTTCTGCTGAGTCTCTGTGCGAGATTGAGTACGGCGAATCAGGGGACGGAGTTTGCGGGACGGGGACAGGACGAAGACATTGGATGATGTGGAAACTTTGCTGGTTAACGTGTAATGATTGCCATGGCGATTGTAGGCAAATGAAGTTTATGAACATGAGACGAATGGTGTTATTCATTTTACGTATAGGAGATGATTCATATCCGTTTATCGTCGAATCCCAACCCCCCCAAACCGCCATTTGATTCGCCATACCTCGTGAGAGAGCCCACTGTAGAAGAATATATGAAAAGGGCAGACTGTCACCTAGTCCCCGAGATCGCAAATCCGGAAAAGAAAAAAAAAAGAACCTCCACAACCCAATGCTATAGCCCAAAAACGCCAGATGCTCCTTTAGTTCCCCATCGCTATCTCTTTGCTTAGCAAAAGGCATCGATTGCTCCGGCTTTCGTAAGAATTCGTAATCATCAAAGGTCTTGGTATATAGGAGAAAATTCAAATACCCCACGCCAAATGACTTTACCGAGAGGAAATGGCTTAGGTGTTCCCCGTGTTATTATGCAATATCCCTTGTTCCCCCCTATCTTTTTTTTCTTTTCAAAATTCCTCCTCGAAAGCCAAAAATCACTTGAAAAGGCTGCGCAAGTCCATCAACTTCTGCCTCGCGGCCTCGGCCTTGTCCAACGCCTTGCTCTGGCCGTCCATACTGAGACTGGCCAGCTTCATCTTCTTCTCTTGCAACTCCAGCATCTTCTCCTCGAAGCTATCGTGCATGATGTAACGGATGGTGCGGACGGGCCGCTTCTGTCCCAGGCGGTGGACTCGGTCTATGGCTTGGGCTTCCGCGGCGGGGTTGTACTGCGGCTCCATGACGTAGACGGTGTTGCCGGCCGTCAGATTCAGGCCCAGACCGCCGGCCATGATGGACACGAGGATGACGTCCACGGTGTTGTCTTCGCGGAACTTTTCCATGGCGGCAGTTCGGGCGGTTCGGGTCATGCTACCATCCAGTCGGACAAA